TCCCAGGCAGGATAAACCCAAGGAGAAACACACTGAGACACCTAGTAATTAAATTGACAAAAATTAAGGACAAAGAAAAATTATTAAAAGCAACAAGGGAAAAAATGACAAATAACATACAAGGGAACTCCCATAAATAAGGTTAACGGGGCTTCCCTGGAGGCGCAGTGGTTCAGAGTCCACCTGCCGATGCAGGGGACATGGGTTCGTGCCCCAGCCAGGGAGAGTCCCGCATGCCGCGGGGCGGCTGGGCCTGTGGGCCGTGGCCGCCAGGCCTGTGCGTCCGGAGCCTGTGCTCCGTGGTGGGAGAGGCCTCAGCAGTGAGAGGCCCGCGTACCGCAAAAAATAATAATAAGGTTAACGGCTGATTTCTCAGCAGAAATTCTACAAGCCAGGAGGGAGTGGCACAATATATTTAAAGTGATGAAAGGGAAGAATCTACAACCAAGATTACTCTACCCAGCAAGGATCTCATTCAGATTTGATGGAGAAATCAAAAGCTTTACAAACAAGCAAAAGCCAAGAGAATTTAGCACCACCAAACCAGCTCTACCACAAATGCTAAAGGAACTTCTCTAAGTGGGAAACACAAGAGGAAAAAAGGACCTACAAAGGCAAACCAAAAACAATTAAGAAAATGGTAATGGAACATTTTGATAATTACCTTAAATATGAATGGATTAAATGCTCCAACCAAAACACACAGGCTTGCCAAATGGGTACAAAAACAAGACCCATATATATGCTGTCTACAAAAGACCCACTTCAGACCTAGGGACACATACAGACTGAAAGTGAGGGGATGGAAAAAGATATTCCATGCAAATGGAAATCAAAAGAAAGCAGGTGAAGCAATACTCATATCAGATAAAATAGACTTTAAAATAATGTAACAAGAGATAAGGAAGGACACTATGTAATGATCAAGGGATCAATCCAAGAAAAAGATATAACAATTATAAATATATATGCACCCAACATAAGAGCACCTCAATACATAAGGCAAATGCTAACAACCATGAAAGGGGAAATCAACAGTAAGCACAGTAATACTGGGGGACTTTAACACCTCACTTACACCAATGGACAGATCATCCAGAAAGAAAATTAATAAGGAAACACAAACTTTAAATGACACAAGAAACCAGGTAGATTTCATTGCTATTTATAGGACATTCCATCCAAAAACAGCAGATTACAGTTTCTTCCAAGTGCACACGGAACATCCTCGAGGATAGATCACATCTTGGTTCACAACTCAAGCCTCAGTAAATTTAAGAAAATTGAAATCATAGCAAGCATCTTTTCTGACCACAATGCTATGAGATTAGAAATCAATTACGGGGGGAAAAAAACATAAAAAACACAAACACATGGAGGCTAAACAATACGCTACTAAATAACCAAGAGATCACTGAAGAAATCAAAGAGGAAATCGAAAAATACCTAGAGAAAAATCACAACGAAAACACAATGATCCAAAACCTATGGGAGGCAGCAAAAGCAGTTCTAAGAGGGAAGTTTATAGCAGTACAATCCTACCTCAAGAAACAAGAAAAATGTCAAATAAACAATCTAACCTTACACCTAAAGGAACTAGAGAAAGAAGAACAAACAAAACCCAAGGTTAGTAGAAGGAAAGAAATCATAAAGATCAGAGCAGAAATAAATGAAATAGAAACGAAGAGAACAATAGCAAAGATGAATAAAACTAAAAGCTGTTTCTTTGAGAAGATAAAAAAAAATTGATAAACTTTTAGCCAGACTCATCAAGAAAAAGAGGGAGAGGACTCAAATCAATAAAATTAGAAATGAAAAAGGAGAAGTTACAATGGACATCGCAGAAATACAAAGCATCATAAGAGACTACTACAAGCAACTCTATGCCAATAAAATGGACAACCTGGAAGAAATGGACAAATTCTTAGAAAGGTGTAATCTTCCAAGACTGAACCAGGAAGAAATAGAAAAGATGAACAGACCAATCACAAGCAATGAAATTGAAACTGTGATTTAAAATCTTCCAACAAACAGAAGTCCAGGACCAGATGGCTTCACAGGTGAATTCTATCAAGCATTTACAGAAGAGCTAACACCCATCCTTCTCAAACTCTTCCAAAAAATTGCAGAGGAAGAAACACACCCAAACTCATTCTACGAGGCCACCATCATGCCGATACCAAAACCAGACAAAGATACTACAAAAAAAGAAAATTACAGACCAGTATCACTGATGAATATAGATGCAAAAATCCTCAATAAAATACTAGCAAACAGAATCCAACAACATATTAAAGGGATCATACAGCATGATCACGTGGGATTTATCCCAGGGATGCAAAGATTCTTCAATATACGCAAATCAATCAATGTGATACACCATATTAACAAATTGAAGAATAAAAACCATATGATCTCAATAGATGCAGAAAAAGCCTTTGACAAAATTCAACACACATTTATGACAAAAACTCTCCAGAAAGTGGGCATAGAGGGAACCTACCTCAACATAATAAAGGCCATATACGACAAACCCACAGCAAACATCATCCTCAGTGGTGAAAAACTGAAAACATTTCCTCTAAGATCAGGAACAAGACAAGGATGTCCACTCTTGTGACTATTATTCAACATAATTTTGGAAGTCCTCACCATGGCAATCAGAGAAGAAAAAAATAAAAAGAATACAAATTGGAAAAGAAGAAGTAAAACTGTCACTGTTTGCAGATGACATGATACTATACATAGAGCATCCTAAAGATGCCAACAGAAAACTACTAGAGGTAATCAGTGAATGTGGTAACGTTGCAGGATACAAAATGCACAGAAATCTCTTGCATTCCTTTACACTAACAACAAAAGATCAGAAAGAGAAATTAAGGAAACAATCCCATTCACCACTGCAACAAAAAGAATAAAATACCTAGGAATAAACATACCTAAGGAGGTAAAAGACCTGTACTCAGAAAGTATAAGACACTGTTGAAAGAAATCAAAGATGACACAAACAGATGGAGAGATATACCATGTTCTTGGAGTGGAAGAATCAATATTGCGAAAATGACTATACTACCCAAAGCAATCTACAGATTCAATACAATACCTGTCAAATGACCAATGGCATTTTCTACAGAATTAGAACAAAAAATCTTAAAATTTGTATGGAGACACAATGACCCCCAAATAGCCAAAGCAATCTTGAGGGGGAAAAAATGGAGTTGGAGGAATCAGACTCCCTGACTTCAGACTATACTACAAAGCTACAGTAATCAAGACAATATGATACTGGCACAAAAACAGAAATATAGATCAATGGAACAGGATAGAAAGCCCAGAGATAAACCCACACACCTATGGTTAAGTAATCTATAACAAAAGAGGCAAGGATATACAACAGAGAAAAGACAGTCTCTTCAATAAGTGTGCTGGGGAAACTGGACAGCTATATGTAAAAGAATGAAGTTAGAACACTCCCTAACACCATACACAAAAATAAACTCAAAATGCATTAAAGACCTAAATGTAAGACCGGACACTGTAAAACTCTTAGAGGAAAACATAGGAAGAACACTCTTTGACGTAAATCACAGCAAGATCCTTTTTGACCCACCTCCTAGAGTAATGCAAATAAAAACAAAAATAAACAAATGGGACCTAATGTAACTTAAAAGCTTTTGCACAGCAAAGGAAACTATAAACAACATGAAAAGACAACCTCAGAATGGGAGAAAATATTTGCAAACAAATCAACAGACAAAGGGTTAATCTCCAAAATATATAAACATCTCACGCAGCTCAATGTTAAAAAAAAAAAACAAACCCAATTAAAAAATGGGCAGAAGACCTAAATAGTCATTTCTCCAAAGAAGACATACAGATGGCCAAGAGGCACATGAAAAGCTACTCAACATTACTAATTATTAGAGAAATGCAAATCAAAACTACAATGAGGTATCACCTCACACCAGTTAGGATGGGCATCATCAGAAAATCTACAAACAACAAATGCTGGAGAAGGTGTGGAGAAAAGGGAACCCTGTTGCACCATTGATGGGACAGCAGGGGGAAGGTGGCTCGGGAGGGCCCCATCGTCCTTGGCGGGCCCACACCCCCAAGTGTTACAGTCCCCCGGCTGTAAATTGATATGGCCACTATGGAAAACAGTATGGAGGTTCCTTAAAAAACTAAAAATACCATATGACCCAGTAATCCCACTACTGGGCATATATCCAGAGAAAACCACAATTCAAAAAGACACATGTACCCTAGTGTTCATTAAAGCACTATTTACAATAGCCAAGTCATGGAAGCAACCTAAATGCCCATCAACAGAAGAATGGATAAACAAGAGGTGGTACATATATACAATGGAATAGTACTTAGCCACAAAAAGGAACGAAGTTGGTTCATTGGTAGAGAAGTGGATGGACCTAGAGACTGTCATAGAGTGAAGCAAGTCAGAAAGAAAAGCAAATATTGTATATTAACGCATATATGTGGAATTCAGAAAAATGGTACAGAAGAACCGTTTGCAGGGCAGAAATAGAGACACAGATGTAGAGAACAAACGTATGGACACCAAGGGGGGAAGGCAGGGGAGGGAGGGATGAATTGGGAGATTGGGATTGACATATATACACTACTGTGTATAAAATAGATAACTAATAAAAACCTGCTGTAAAAAAAAAACTGAAAAATGCACACATTTATACATATAAATACATATTCATATATAAATACATATTCATATATGAATACATACATTTAATGTTTAGCTTTTTATTTGGACTGCTTAGTTTTCTAAGAAACAAACTTACCTATAATGAATATTTCAGTTAATCTATTAGAGTTGATTTTTTATTTTTTACTGTCTGTGTTCCTTTGCGTGAGTGTTTTGATCTGAGACTTAAAACAGAAATCTGGCAGTAGATACAGTTAAAGTAGGAAACCGCCTGCTACTAAAGATATTGTGAATTTCTATTTTCTTTTTCTTTCACTAGTCATTCAGCCATTGTACCAGAGAGTTATGACGTGGACTATTAATATTGCCAAGAACTTCATCATCAAGTGGGCTACATGCAGAAGAGAAGGTGTTTTGTAACCCTATGATACCACTGAATACGTTTAAAATGTCAAATTTTTGAAAATAAAGCGCACTTGGGCAGGAGGAAGTCTCCCCTATGCTTCTGGGCATACACCTGGCCACAGGTGGAGTCTGGGTCCACGGAGCCGTAGCCACACTTCCACCCCTCACCCCACTCACCCTCCCCCCACCAGCCCCACCATCTCCACCCGCCCCACCCCCGCCCCCAGGCCAGCCCCCCAACCCCTCCCTGCCCCGTCCCTCCGCCCGCTCTGCCCTCCCTCCCTGCCCCTCGCCGCTGGGACCTAGAGCGCAGGGCTCCACGCGCTCGATGCACCGTTTCCAGTCAACCCCGGTGGCGAGGCCAGCCGGCCACGCAATGCTGTCTCTCTTGCTGTTCCTCTCAGGGCTGGGCCCGCTGACCTCCACGGGCCATCGTAAGTGAGGACCCTGCTGGATAGGAGGGTGGCCCGTCGTCGCAGGGTCCCTTGGCGCGGGGGGCGTCGCCCTCCCTGCTGCAGAAGCTCAGGCCAGGCTGGGGAGAGTCCGGCGTCAGGTCCGAGCCCGCCCAGTTTCAGGCCCCCGGCGGGCCCGCTGGTCGGAGGGCTCTGAGCAGGACTGAGATAGTTGTCCCTCACTCCGGGACCCTGCGCCGCAGGAGGGGGCGCCTGTCTTCCAGGGAGGTGGGGGGAGGAGGGAACCTGGATGGGGTCCTGGGAGCAGCCCTTCTTCACCTACCCAGGGCTGAGGTCAGCCAGCCCCAAGGGTCTCTGGACGGTGGTGGGGTAGTAACACTCCCACTTCTAGAGGAACCTCTTCCTGGAACCTTGCGCAGTATGATTGTGTGTGTGTGTGTGTGTGTGTGTGCGCGCGTGTGCGTGCATGTGTGCACGCGCATGCCCGCTGGGGCTTGGAAGACCCACGAGTGATGTGATAGGAGAGGACAAGTAAGAGAAGGATAAGGATGCTGCCGTGTGCTGGGGAACGGTCACACCTGTTTTGCTCACTGTAGATTCTGAAATATCACTTATACAAATTACAGTGCCACAGAAGACTGGGACAAAGGTCTCAGAAACTCCTGTCATTAAGAAATCATTCTTTGTGTTTTATGGGTATTTTATTCTTTCTGGACTACATGGCCCAAATCAGTTCATACATATCATTTGTAAAGTTATTTTTGTGTTTATATTTATTTTGTTAAATAGCCATTTTGTCTGAATAAGAGCAAATGTTTTAATATTTTATTTTTTTCATTATGTCACAATCAATACATAAACATTGTAACGTACATAAACATACATACACACATATTTTTAAATTACAGACTCAGGAAAAAAAAATAATTGACCAAGTTTCTATTTCACAAAAAGTCTACTGGACCTTTTATCTCTAAAAAAAATAGTTTTAATATTTATTCTTATATTAGTGAGATCATCCTAATGCATTCAATTCTTGTGATAACTATGTTCTATAAAGCCCCAAACGCTGAATTAGCTATTGCTGAATCAACATTTCAAGGGGAAATATGTATGTATCTCATAGAGATTGCGATCTTAAATCCTGCAAACATCTCATCCTGGAAGATTCTATTTTCCCTAATTTACAAAGGAGAAGTGAAAAGTGACTTGCCTGGGACCATGTCAGCAATAGGTACCATAGCTGAGATTCCAACACCCTGCAACTGGCCTCAGAACCCAAGCTTCTTCAATACAGTGCCAACTCCATCTTCTGGTCATCTCTGCAGCAGAGCTGCAATAAGAAGGCAGAGTATCAGCTGTTCAGCCTCAGCTGGGAGTGTGAGCCTTGTTACAAATGAATTTTTGGCCATTTGTTCGTAAACTCAAATGATCCAAAAAGAGCTACAAATATTGATATGGGGGCTTATAAATAAATCTGAGCAAATAGGCAAATTTGCAGATATGCAATAATTGAATAATGATGATTGACTATCTTTATTTTGTAACATAATTTAAAAATAAATATAAACTCAATAAGATTTGAAAGGTAATATATACACCAGCTATTTTTTTTTTTTGCAGATTGTATTGTTATTTAGATTGAAAGCTTGAGACATTTTGTTACTGAACACAAGTTCCTGTGCCCAACGCACAGTGAGGCCAAACAAACCAAAACGTAGGAGTTTGGAGCAGAGAAAAGTTTATTGCGGGGCCATGTAGGGAGACAGGTGGCTCCTGCCCCCAAAAACCCTGAACCTCCTCCAAGGGTTTCAGCAAAGCACTTTTAAAGGCAAGATGAAGGATGAGCGAGGTTGGTTGTTACAAACCTCTTTGCAGCTGTCCACGTAGGTCAGGTCACATGCTCCTGTAACCCTCCAACAGAACAAATATTATTCTCTGTTCTGCAACTTTTTATCTCTATATGAATAGACTCTTAAAGGTCAGAGCCTTGAAAATAGGCTCTCCTGTATATTTCAGGCTACAGGCAACATTCTTTTACAAAAGGCACAGAGCCAGCATAACTAAGCACAGGCAACAGAGCACCAAGGCTAAAGTAAGAAACAGACCTAATACAGAGTCAGATTGGTTCTTCCCTGTTACAATTTTACATACAAATTCTCAGGATTAATTAGAAAGTTTAACAAAGGATAACTGGGCACTGAAAAATGGATTAGTATGTGTAATAATGATGAAAAAGCTGCAAGGTGTTGAGGGAGGTGATGCTTCCAAGTCTCCATCACACACTAGCTCGGTGCCAAAATAGTTCTTCAGTTTCCTTAACTGTAAAATGGGTATAATAGAACCATACCTCGCTCATAAGTATATTGTGAGACTTTGAGGTAATTTAAAGAGTGCTTAGCCATAATGCAAAGAACATATTTTTTTACATTTCATTTTTACCAAGAAGGTACAGGTATATTTTGTTGTTGAAACAGATTTCTGCCTCAAATAATGGTATATGGTGGTATCATTATGTGATATGCAGAATGTGGAAGGCAAACTCTACATTTTTACTCTCACACAATAGGATAAAGGAAGGGAAGGACACTGTGGAGCCCTACATCAAGGACACAGGACAAAAATCCCGGAATTAACGGAGCCCCCATAGCAACTGTTGCCATGGGCTCTCCTAATCTATACCGGACAGCCCTTCTCCCCGACTCCATATTAGGCAAAATAATCACCATGCAGTAACCTTGAAGCATCCTGACCAATCACCTAATGCCATCCTGCCAACAGAAATTTTCTTTGTCTTGAGGCTATAAAAGTTGGCTACTAGCCCACAAAGGGGGTCGGCTCTCCCTGGTCTATCAGGAAGTGGGCCCGCTGGATTCGCAGCGCCCCTCACTAACTCTGCTCTTTGCTCTCAATAAACTCACTCTTTTCTAAAATACTTCGTGTCCGGAAATTATTCTTCCAACCCGCGCTCGGACCACGACATTTTGGTGGCCCATACGGGCAACATCTCCGGGGGGATCTCCTCCCCCGACCTCCTCTCCTCATTTCTTGGGACCCTCTGTGAATAGGCAAGCTGCCGGGGAAGCAACAGAGGACTCTGGCCACACACACACATACCCTGTTGTGTTCCGAAGGCTCCATGGCTCTCTTTGCCCCAGTAACTGCCGCCCAGAACGGGTGAGGGTCCCTCTGTTTTCCTCCTGACTGCAGACTGGGCCGATTGGTATCGTGCGGGCACGGGTCAGGCATTTAAAAGCCATCAGGGCGCCTGACGCTTGAAGACTTCCCTGAAAGGATAAGGGGGTCACGGAACGGACCAGGCTGTTAGAGCATCTGCCCCCATCAAGGCAACTTCCGTGCACCGTGAGGCACACACTGGTTCATGCAGAACACTGAGCCCCCTCCCCTTGGCCGCCACCTTCCCGGCAGGACTACGAGGCCGTTTCCTCAGCCTGTCTTTGTTGCTTTCACCTTTTTCTCCGTCCGGATTGACTTACAGGAGCCTAAGTGTTGCCTTTCACGTTTCAGGGCATCGCCGAGCGGTGAGTCACCCGGTGGGTCCCGGGAATCTCTCTCTCTTTTCTTTCTTCCCCTGCCCGAGTCGCATGGTGCCTCAGTCGCACGGTCTGTGCCTCAGTCGCACGCTCAGGGTCACCTCTCACGGTCAGACGCGATTGTTGGGACAGTCGGCCCATTTTGTGTCTTAGTCGCAATGAGAGATCACTGGGACAAAGGGGACGCCTCTCTGTCAGCCGGTGACTCTCAGTGCGCCCTTTCTACGGCGTACAGGCTAAGAATGGGTTGTGGATCGTCTCGGGAGCCTCCCTCGGACTCACCCCTCGTTTGTATCCTCAGGAACTGGGAAAATTTGACCCTGAAAATCTCAAAAAGAAGAGGCTCATTTTCTTTTGTAACACAGATTGGCCGCAGTATAAACTGAGCGACCGAGAACAATGGCCTCTTAATGGCACACTAAATTATAACACGATCCTCCAACTTGATCTCTTTTGCCGGAAACAAGGAAAGGACTCAGAGGTTCCTTAAGTCCAGACCTTTATGGCCCTTAGTAAGAATCCGGAGCTGAGGGACTCATGCCGCATGTGTCTTTCTGTTGCCACCTTATCCTCCAAACCCGCTCAGTCTCCCTCTCTATCAGATCTCCTAGGCGACCCTCTACTCGACCTTTCCTGTCCTCCACCCCATGAACCCCCTGCTTCAGCCCGCGACCCCACCTCAACCCACAGCTCCCCAGCAGGTACCCCCTTATCAGGGCAAAAGCCCCCCTCCCCTCCCCACACAAGATCGAGGACTGCCCAACGCCAGGAAGTAGCAAATGGAAACATGGGCACTATTAGAGTCCATGTTCCCTTCCCCATGTCTGATGTTTCCCAAATTCAAAACAAGTTAGGTTCCTTCAGTCAGGATGGCCACAATATTCTTTAGACTCCAGAGAAAATTGGTTAAGATAAAAATTTTTTTGAAATTGCAAAACTGGTTCTTTTTGCATATGCAATTAGAGAGAGCTAGCTTGTTGAAATATCTTTTTCAGAATTCTGACCCTGAGAGAACAAAAATATGCCTAGGAGAAGGCTTGAAGTTAACTCTTACCATGTCCT